AACAATAATAATATAACTACTCAGATTAAACATTCCAATCAAAAGTCAGTGATTGACAGTGGTGCAAACGTATAAGCACAGCACTTGGGAGGTTGACATAGGAATTTGGAGTTTTAGGCCAGCCTTAACTATACAATGATACTTTCACAACAAAACAAAACACAAAACATAGGGGCTAGGAATATAGCTTGGTGATAGTGTGCTTGTCAAGCAAAGGCAAAGCACTAGGTTTGATCACCAGAACTGTGAAGTGGGGAGTCATTAATTGCTGGGAATAGTGAGTGACACAAAACTGTAATCCCCAAACTCAGGAGGTAGTCAGGAAGTTAACAAGTTCCAGGCCAGCCTAAGCTTTGAAACTGTCTCCAAAATATTAAAAAGCAAAATAAAACCCAACCCTGCCCCCTGCATAAGTCAGAGTGATTTAGACAATGGATAAGCCAGTGACTGAACACTTTATCCACTACTACTACCACTACAAAAAAAAATCAATAATGAGAAGAAGGGGTTACAGAAAAATAAAAACAATGGGTCCATTACACGCAATCTATAATAGACACAGCTTCAAATGATGTACTTTAGAATGAAAGATATAAAGAGGCCAAAAATTAAACATGGAAAAACATATACCAATAGAAATCAGTACAGCTGTGTGTGTACACTAGTCTCAGTCAAAAACTTTAGGGCAAAAATTATTTATAGTAAGAAAGGATATTTTACAACAAAACAAAGGATTTATCTTATACAGAAGAAATAACAATTATAAAAATATACATACCCTAAAATATACTGAAAATTTAAAAAATAGACAATTCAACAATTCTAAAAGCTTTAATAATCTTCTGGTGGAAAAACTAGACATAGGAGCAAGAAAACAGAGCAAAACTTTAATGACTTTATATAACAACTAAATCTAAGACGTTTATAAAATACTTCATGTACCCATAGTAAAATATATCCTCAAGTAGACTGACGATGTGTTAGGCCATTTTAAAAAACCTTAATAATTAAAAAAAATTAATTATATTACATTTTTCTAGGATATGCAAAATGGATCAAAGTCCTAAATGTAAAAAAAACTCTTAGAAGAAAATACAGATGTAAATCTTTGTTATTTTGATTAACCAATGACCCCAAAAGCATGAGCAAAGAAAACAAATAAACTATAGACTTCATAAAAATAGTGAAATTTGCCCTTCAAAGAACATAGAAGAGTGAAAAAGATACTGAGTAGAATGTTGGTATAATAGGAAAAAAAAAGAAAAAGAAAATCTTTAAAGAAATCTTTTCTATACTAACATCTTTCCAAGTTCATCAGATGTTTTTCTTTTCCTCTTAAAAGTTATAGCAAGCTGGACTCCGGTAGTTTACATTTGTAATCCTAGGTACTCAGAAAGCTGCAATCTGAGGATCATGGTTGGAAGCCAGTTGGGCAAAAAAGCCCGTGGGACTCTTTATCTCCAATATACTACTCAGAAAAAGCTGGAAAGTGCTCTGGCTCAAGTAGCAGAGGGCTAGCGCTGAGCCCTAAAGGGTTCAGGGACAGAGCCTGAGTTCAAGCCCTAGGACTGGCAAAAAAAATAAATAAAAATAAAAAAATATATATTATAGCAGAGAAAATATTCATTTTTACCATAAATTAGAACATAAAAACACATAATCTAACAAGGAAAAAAAGAACATTTACATGACCATAAGATTTGACTGTTCAATTGTTGGAGAAAAGTGAGGGAGGAAACAAAAGAGGCAGGAGGAATACTTTATAGTTGAGGTTGCTTGGTAAAATTTCACAGTGCAATTACTTAAATGTTACTTATGTAGTATAATATATAGAATATTTTTTAAAAGCTTCATTTCTCTATTTAAACCTAGATGTTATCAATATCCTTAAAAATTCCTCATGGTTACTAATTTATTATTAGGAAGCAGTAAATTTACTTTAAAATATATTCATCTTTCACAAATTTTACTACAATTTGTAGTAGAAAAATATCATCTCTTACCAAACCAAAACATAAACCAGTAAGAGTAGAACTCTACCCAAAATAGGGAAAGTGATCTTATATTTGAAATTCATGTAAACCACTTCCAATGTTGTACTTCTATTAATGAGATTTCTAAACACTGAAATTAAAGCACTAAGGCAGACAAGAGCTTTCACTTGGTGAACACACTGTTGCTGATGCTGAAAGTCTACAGATTTCAATAAAGCTTACTGACAAACCAGCTTCTAATAAATAAGTAGGATTATATACAAAGGTACCAGACAGTCAGAATAATCATGTTCTGTTCTTCATAATATAATTCTTCCTTTACTACTTTGTTCTGGTTTGAGATATAGTTGCATTTTTTTCTCACAAGATGAAGCAGTTGTCCCCTACATCAAATCTGGGTGGACCTAGGGCTCCTTCCAAGAGAGTAACAGCAGAGAGATGCCACACAACTTCAAGGTTAGGTTCCAGTAGGCCATGAAGCTTTTACTTCTCTCCTTGAGACAGTAAGCCTCCACTTAAGAACTTTAAATATCAACTTTGAGGTTGCCGAGCCTACAGGCCACCTATACGCTTTCTAGGTGACAAGTCTAAACTAGGCCCAGGCTTGGTCATCCCTAAGTAGTCAGACATGTAAATGAAGAGGCCATTTGGAAAGAGATTCTCTAATTCCAACTGTGGCAGTTCCTAGCTTTTAGTTCTTCTAAGCTGTGGCCCAGATATACAGCAGAGCCAGGCCATTTCTTTTGTGTCCTGTTTGAATTCTGATTCACAGAATCCACAAGCAGAATCAAAGGCTTGGTATTTTTGGTCACTATGTTTGGGTTGGTTAATTTCTCTGTAATTGAACAAACATCAGATGAGAATCTACTTTGGGTCACAGAAAGGAATTACAACCCAGCAGTAGTTTCTAACTTGCTTTCAAGTTGCTGAGATTATGTAGCAAGTAGAACTGTGGGTTATAGGGTAGTAGTTACACTTGATCTTAGCCAAAAGTCCAAGAAGTAATAACATAGCTAATATTTTCTGAATGAATGTACAAATAAACTATATTCTTTAGGGATGAGTATTGAATAACTAATACTCCTAAATTTTAATATATTAAATATTAATGTACCTGTTAAATGAGACATAAATAGCAAATTAAACTTGATAATTTACATGTTTGTATTTGCATGCTCAGTAATAACTCTTAGTTCTTTATATCAGACAAATCAGCAACTTTCCCGTTCTTCCACTATTCCACTGTATCTTTCACAGTGGGCCTTGTATATACTAACCAAGCTCTACCACCGAGCTACATTTCTAGCCCTTGTTCATTTTTTCCTCATACTTTTTCACAGATCTTATTTATTTCTAATGAACACAATGATATTTTGGAGCAGAATGAACATATGGATTCATGTGTGTATGAAATTTGACTACGCAGAAGTAGAGCACATAACTCAAGCTGTGGTGGAGTCAGTCTGGTATACAAAAGTTAAACAATGAACTTTAACCAAAGTGTTAACCAACTCTAAATCTGTGACTTTATAAAATGGGGAGAATCAAACTTAATGAGACAATCTCCTTCAATTTTATGATTTTCTGTGTGAGAACAGTGCTATGATATAATACACTAGACTTATACTTGGGCATCATAGTCTAATATGATGTACAAGTCATTGTTTTCCACAGCAGTCAAGACTGTACTTTATACTGTATAGTGCTTTCACTTGAAACATAATTCAATAAAGTTATTTCTATCATTTTTTGTGATTCTACATAAATTATATTTTAATTCTTCCTACAGGTTTAAATGATTTTAAAAATCAAGTTTCTTGCAAAATTATAAAACGCAAAAACTAATCAATTAAATAAATTGCTCAACATTTCAAAAGGCTTTTACTAGAACAAAGTCCTGACGAAATGTTTAGTTTTCTAATTCCTAGCTGCTATACTCCAACTTCTGGTTATTGTTCAGTTAAGCCCCTGAAGCATCTCAGCAAATTAAATCATGCAACTTAATGCTAATCTTTTTTTTCTCATAACAATAGCAACAAAAATCATCATTTTAAAAAATAGGCTGCATTGTATCTCTTTTGAGTTGCTGAACTATTTTAATCCTTCCAACTTTTAAGACTGACTAATTTGCCAAGCTATGCACAATATTACAGTAAGCATCTTTATATATAATTTTGCCGTCTATTGAATTATTTTCTTATGATAGTAAACTGGATTAAAAATATTTACATTTATAGCTTTAAAAACAAACTGCCAATTACCTTGTAAAAAGTCCAGAGCTGGGAAGGTGGCCAATGGTAGAGTGATTGCCTCACATGCATGAGGCCCTGGGTTCGATTCCTCAGCACCACATAAGCAGAAAAAGCCAGAAGTGGCACTGGCTCAAGTGGTAGAGAGCTAGCCTTGAGCTGAAGAGCTAAGGGACAGTGCCCAGGCCGAGAGTTAAAGCCCCACGACCAACAGAAAAAAAAAAAGAAAAGAAAAGAAAAATGTCCTAACTGGGTGCCAGTGGCTCACATCTATAATTCTAAATACACAGGAGAACCACAATTTGAAGGCAGCCTTTAACAAGCAAAAAGAAGGTGCAAGGCTAAAGTGGTAGAGCACCAGCAAAACAAGCAAGCCAATCAAGTATGAGGCCCTGAGTTCAAATCCCAATATAGAAAAAAAAAGTCAGTATCTCTTAAAACTCATTTCAATTCTTGGGTAAATCATAATGTTAAGTACTATTCAATGCAACTCATTTATTGTATCTTTTCTGAATTCAATTGTCTCATTTACTCTGGTGGATCATTTTATTTGTTTTCTATTTTTTGAGACAGGTCTTATCTGGCTGTCTTCAAATGAGCAATCTTTCTTCCTCATTCTCTCGAGTGCTAGGATCACATGAATATGGCACCATGCCGGGTCTGGTGTATTTTTAAATAAAGTTTCATTTACTTTTTTATACAACCTCTTTTTTTTAAAAAAAAAAATCTTGCTATTTCTTTTCTATTTCTTGCTTACCTGTTTTTAAGATGTGCCTCCAGATCACAGCGTTGCATTACGTCTTGGCACACTGAAGAAAATGGACACAAAACTAACAACTTGTCTAGAAGTTTATGAACCAGAATGCTAGACTTCTTACACAGCTTGAAATGAAGTCTCTTCCGGTCTAATGGACAGAAATCTTTCTCTTGTAAAAAGTTTTTGAGGCACTTGTAGCAGAATGTGTGTCCACAGGGTGTATCAAGTGGCTGCAGCAGAGGCTGAAGGCAAATATGGCAGACGAGGTCATCATCCACTTCATCCTGGTAATTGTACAAGTGGTTTTCTCTGGTCCAGTGCTGTTGGCCACACTCAAAGCACAGGGGGTTTAGGGAGGAGGAGGAGGAGGAGGTCTGTTCCACTGATACCATCTCATCACTTGTGGTTCCCATCTTGAATCAACTGGTGTAGTTTCTGTGTCCTCATAAGCTAGTCTTCCATTAATGGTTGGGTTTCCTTTAATACACTGGGGTGTATCTGAATAAAGCCAATGTCTGTTTTTCTAGAGGTCACAAACAAAAGCAATTAGAATAACTCACAATAAGTTTAAAGTAAAAACTAATTTTAGTAAAGACTTAAAAGTTTAGATAAGGTAATAAATCATAAAAATAGTGAAATAAATCCATTTGCTAGTTGGATAATCTTCTAAGATCTGGATGAAGAAAGAACATGTAATTGCAGTATGATATAATAATCAATTTGGTTTACTATTTGAAATTCTCAAATATAGTTTTAAAACTAATTAATCTCCTGTTTGCTAACTGGACAACTTAAAGTATATTTTGTAATGCATTTGCATTTGTCATCGTAACTGTGGATGGCTCTTGGCTTCTAATTGACATATACAGAAAATATAGTACTATACCAGTGAAAGAGTGTATGTGAGATGTAGTCTCAGGAGAAATATGTTTTATTAATTTAAAAAAATGACATTTTTGCTGTGAACTAGTGGCTCACACAGGAGGCAAAAACCTGAAGATCACAGAGGCCAGACATGGCAGGAAAAGTTTGTAATTCTTTTTTTTAATTTTCTAACTTTTTTTTATTGTGAAAAGACTGTACAGAGGGGTTACAGTTACATGAGCAAGGTAATGAGTACATTTCTATCAAGCATTGTTGCCTTCTTCTACTCTCCAATTACCTAGCAAAAAACCAGAAGTAGAGCTGTGGCTCAAGTGATAGAGCAACAGTCTTGAGTGAAAAGCCAGGTGAGCAAAAGAAAAAAAAACAAACTTTGCTCTTTACTATCAGAAAAAAAAAATTTAATACATGTAAAAATTGATTATGTTTAGAACATAATTCATAGGAAAACACATCAGCATAGGATATAAAATAGCATCTGGATAAAATTCCATAAGGTATACTACTCTAGTTTATTAAATGAAAAAAAAAACACTTATTCAATTGAAAAGTAATATATGTATAAACTGTAGTTCTGCTTCCTATTATTCCACACTTCCATTTGGAGGTGTTTACTTGGAGCCTTTGGTATGTGTACATATGTGCATGCATGTACAGTTTCTCCAACGAAACTCTTACGGCACTCTCCATTTCATGAAAGTTTAAAAGAGAATGGTCCCCTTCTGCAGAAGTACCAGGAGCTAAAAATCAGCTGTAAGAGCAGCAGTTTCCTGGATCTTTTCTGTAAATATTTACAGTCTCCAGTATATGCTGAATGTTGTACTCGGGCATAGGCAGAGAGAACAGTTTAGAAAACCTGTTATTAAAATTCCATGTAATAAGTACTCTAAAAAAGTTATATACAGGATGTTACGTAAGTGTGGGAAAGATGAGGAGAACTGGCATTTAAGTCTGTTTGGCTTTGTGGCTAGAAATATTTTCAAAAGTGTTTCAAAAAACATAGTCTGCTAGTTGTGATAGGAAGCACTGGCCAGAGAGAAGAAAAATGGACAAGGTCATTTTGGGCAAGAGAAAAGCATCAACTACTTTTACAAGTCACAGGTCCTGGACAGTATGTGGCACATTCAGAAAATGTAAAATGGATGCTAACAACCCAGGCACAGACCATGCTCTTAGGCAACAAAAAACCTGTTAACTTCTAACCCAAGATCATAAAAAGCAGGATACCATGTGGGTATATAGTGTCTATATTTCAATATCAATTTTCTCCATTCAACATATATTCACTATTTTATTTCAAACATTAAAACAAACCACAAAAATGAAGCCAAGTATATGGTGAGCACATATAATCAATCGAGCACTCAGAAGGCTGAGGCCAGCCTGATTTTCACATTGACACTCTATCTAAATAAACAAACAAACATATATTAACATTTTAACAGATTTAACTTGGCCATGAAATAAGAATTGGGATAGGATTCAGGTAGAACAGCTTGATCTGACCTTGGATAAATCATGTTTTGAAAAATAACATTAACAAGATCCGTGATCTAAACTACTGGCAGCAACATCAAGAGGGCAAACACGCTTGTATTTGCTAACTTTACCCTTTGAACATCAAAACTACTTTAGATATCTGTACAAGGTTTGTGACACTAAGTAACGTGTATCTCAGGCAGATAGATTACCTCAAGTCAGGAATTTTTATACTCTGTTTCTCCTTAAATAGCAAGAAACTTATATATTCTTTCTTCTTCTTTGTGATAGTGTTTATTCTAGCTTTTCTTTCCCTCAAGAAAATATACTACAGTTTTAGCCTCCCACATAATGACTAAGAAACCTTTATTGTAAGACTATTATATTTTAGCTATTTTCTGCATCTCTAAATAACTTCAGTTCTTTGACAATTTTCATTTTATCACAAAATCTTTTCATAAGGAAAATTAACATGTTCTCACTTAAAATACCAAATAACAACTGCTTTATCTCCATCCTGAAATAACTCAATGTTAACATGAAACAAACATTCAATAAAAACTAAACTGAAAGCCATAAGTCCTTGAGAGCACAGGCCAGAAGCCTGAGGGGTCAAGACTGCTTGGTCACTTACTAGGCTGTGACATTACTAAATCCCTGTCTGTTGCCTTTTCAGATGAAAAATGGGAGTGATAACAGTGTTCCCTTTCAATGTAAGTAATACATGTAAGAGTGTGTGTGTGTGTGTTACTTAAAACAGCACCTGTGCCAGGAGCCGGTGGCTCACACCTGTAATCCTAGCTATTCAGGAGGCTGAGATCTGAGGATTTCGGTTCAATGCTAGCCTGGGCAGGAAAAGTCCAATGGACTCTTATCTCAAATCAACCACAGAAAACTGAAAGTGGTGTTGTGGCTCAAGTGATAGAGAGCTAGCCTTAAGCTGAAGAGCTGAGGGAAAGATCCCAGGCCCAAAATTCAAGCCCCATAACTGACAAAACAAACAAACAAACAAACAAAAACAGTAGCTGTCACATCATAGGTACAATGTGTTAGCTTTTATTAAAAAAGCAAGCAGGATGCTATTTCACTAGCTATTCAGTAGGCTGAGATCTGAGGATTAAGGTTCAAAGCCAGCCAGGGTAGGAAAAGTCCATGATACTCTTATCTCCAATTAAATACCAACAATCTAGAACTGGTGGTATGGCTCAAGTGGCAGAGTGCTAGCCTTGAGCAAAAAAGCTCAGGGGCAGTGCCCAAGCCCTGAGTTCAAGCCCAGGACTGTGCTCGGGCACACACACACGCGCGCGCGCGCGCGCACACACACACAGGCACGCACGCATGCACGCACACGCGTGCGCACACACGCACGCGCGCGCGCACACACACACACACACACACACACACACACACACACACAGAGCGCAAAAATTTGGGCAAATTTTATGATTTTTCCCGAAGCTAAACAACTTACAATTAGTGAGAAAAAAAAACAAACCAAAAACCAAACAATCCAAGTCCTTCTTGCTCCAAAGTAATATAATGGAAAATTCAGTGGTAACAGGAAAGAGGAAAGATATCAATGGGAGCTTCTGAGAGTTTTCTTTTTTTTTTTTTTGGGTCCGGTCGTGGGGCCTGAACTCTGGGCCTGGGCGCTGTCCCTCAGCTCTTCAGCTCAAGGCTAGCCCTCTACCACTTGAGCCACAGCGCCACTTCTGGCTTTTTTCTTTTTGCTTATGTGGTGCTGAGGAATCGAACCCAGGGCCTCAGGCATGCAAGGCAAGCGCTCTACCACTGAGCCACCTTCCCAGCCCTTCTGAGAGTTTTCTAAGAAACAAAACCTGGCCTGACTTTTTCAACTCCTTGACCACTACTTCCACCCCTGGCAGGTGATTTTCTTCCCATTCTGTATGCAAGTATCGTATACTGCCCCACATCACGGCTCATGTTGTGAGCGTGCTTTGGGTCTAACTAAGATTGTGTCCTTCACGGGCTCACATCCTGAAAGGATGGTTCTCCAAGGTGGTGGTGGAAATTTTGAGAGCTGGGGTCTCAGGATTAGGCCTTTGGGGGTGTTACACTAAGACACAGTAGGGTGATAAAAGAGAGAGTCTGGCACTGAATTTTATGATTTTGTCTCACATGTGATTCCTTCCTCATGAGGCTGTGACCCTTTTCCTTTTCCTTGGCACACAGGTGGGACCTCATCAGAGGCTAAACAGAAAGTGCTGCTCATCTTGGACTTCCAGCTCCAAAACTACTTTTTCTTTATAAGGTGCTCCAGCACAGGTATTTTGTTACAACAGAAAATAGACTAAGAGCTCTAAGAGTTTGGCCTCTCACTGAGGAGTTTAATAAATGTTGAATTACCAACTGTACAACAATACTTTTTTTCTCTTGGCAAGTTCAGGCCATCATAACTACATATAGTAGTTTATAGGAGAGTATGGCTAGGTTTATATATAATTTTGATTCAGATATTATCTATAATACCTGTGCACCCAGTTTAAGATGGTAAAATACCAGTTATATAGTCTCAAACATTTCCCAAAGTATTTAAGTGTAGCATAATGTATATCTTAATTTTTTTTTTGTTTGTCAGTCATGGGGCTTGAACTCTGGTCCTGGGCACTGTCCCTGCGCTCTTCAGCTCAAGGCGAGCGCTCTACTGCTTGAGCTACAGAGTCATTTCTGGTTTTCTATGGTTTATTGGAGATAAGAGCCTCACAGACATTCCTGCCCGGGCTGGCTTTGAATTGCAATCTTCAGATCTCAGCCTCCTTAGTAGCTCAGGATTACAGGCATGAGCCACCAGCACCTGGCTTTTTTTTTTTTTTGGGGGGGGGGGGGGGGTGGGCCCTGGGGCTTGAACTCTAGGCCTGGGCACTGTCCCTCAGCTCTTCAGCTCAAGGCTAGTGCTCTACCACTTGAGCCACAGCGCCACTTCCAGCTTTTTCTGTTTATGTGGTATTGAGGAACTGAACTCAGGGCCTCATGCATGTGAGGCAAGCACTCTATCACCGAGCCACCATCTCAGCCCTTAAAAAACTTTTTTTGTTATTATAAAGGCGATGAACAGAGAGAGGTGTTACATTTACGTAAGTCAGGTAAAGAGTACATTTCTTCTTGGACAATGTCACCCCTTTCCTCATTTTCTCCCAATTT